ACCCCATCAGCATAGAACAATACAGCAAAAGAGTCATACAGTCATACAGCACGGGAACAGGCCTTTGGTCCATTCATCCGTGCCGACCTGATATCCTAAATTAATCTAGTTCCATTTGCCAGCATTTGGCCCATATCACTCTAAAACCTTCCTATTCATGTCCCCATCCAGATGCCTTTTAAATGTTATAATTGTACCAGCCTCCACCACTTCCTCTGGCAGCTCGTTCCACACGCGAACCACCCTGTGTGTGAACAAGTTGCCCCTCAGGTCCCTTTTAAATTTTTCCCCTCTCACTTTAAACCTATACCCCTCTAGTTTTGGACTCCCACATCCCAGGGAAAAGACTTTGTCTATTCACCTTATCCTTGCCCCTGAGGTGGGTATAATTACAACATTTGGATAGGTACATGGATGAGTAAGGTTTAGAGGGATATGGGACAAATGCAGGTGAGCGGGACTAGTCCAACTGAGGAAACCTGGTCAGCATGGACGAGTTGGGCCGAAGGGCCTGTTTGCATGCTATGAGACCCCCACGATAGGGCGGGATCTGGGTGGGACGTTCCCAGGAGAGATGGGCCAAACAGCCTCTTTCCACGATGTGGGGATTCCACGATCCAAAGAACGTCACCTTAGCACATGGCACCACGCGATAGAGACAGCGTAAAAGAGAGAGAGAGAGAAAAAGGGAGGAAACCGCGGGGACAGAGGGTGCAGGCTGACTCAGAGATCGGAAAGCGAAGGAGCCTCCGTCGGCTCCCACCTTTTGGCTAAACAAGGCGCGCACCCTTTCATCCTTTGGTCCTGCGATGCATCACCAACGTGAGAGCGCCGTAGCGAATGCCCCGCTCCCCGGCTCTCCCACGATAGAGTGCCGTCGCGGTTTCGGTCAACTCCACCGTCCGGCCGAACCTTCGAGCCTCGGCCACCGTGCGTGCGTGCGTGTGCGTGCGAGAGAGGATCTTCTACGTAGTGACTCTGGGCACAAGTGTAGAACCTTCAGCGTAAGCGTGGCATGGCGCCTCTTCCGGCCCCTTTTCAGCCCGCGTGCATCTCAGTGACTCCCTCCGAAAACCTCTCGACGGATGGGGCTGTTCCAGACTACCACCCCACCAGATCGCTGATCCTCCACCTGGGGCTGGCAAAGAGGGAAAACGGACATGTTGGTCGGACACCCTGAGGCCATTCACCGCTCCCACACTGCACACACAGACAGGATCTCCCACCACCCCCAACCCACACCCCAAGAAACCAACAGGCCGGTCCCCCCTCCCCTCATGTCGGCACACGCACACGATCCATGGCCAGGTGGGACGAAGGGAGTTGGTCGGAGGGGGGATGGCGGGGAATGGGGATTGGTCGGTGTGGGGGCAACTGGAGAATGAAGATTGGGCAGCGTGCAAGGGATGGGGATTGGTCAGTGTAGGGGGCAGAGGGG